AGTATTGAGTACATGTACAGTAAATTAACATACGTTCCAGAAGGCAAACAATTCACTAAAAATGATTGTTTTTATTGGTCTTATGAAGTATTCTAATTTGTTGAGATAGTGAATTGGTGGGTTTTTGTTAAATGTGAGCCAAAATCATCACAATTAAAAGAACCAAAGACTTAAACTACTTCAGTCTGTGTGCATTGAATTTATTTAATACACAAGTTTCACAATTTGAGTTGAATTACTGAAATAAATCAACTTTTCCACGACATTCTAATTTATTTAGATGCACCTGTAGATAGATAGATAGATGATAGATAGACAGATGACAGATAGATAGATAGATAGATAGACAGATCATAGATCGATAGATAGACAGATGATAGATAGATAGACAGACGATAGATAGATAGATAGACAGATGATAGATAGATAGATAGATAGACAGATGATAGATAGATAGATAGACAGATGATAGACAGAGGATAGATAGATAGAAAGAGGATAGATGATAGATAGATAGATAGATGATAGATAGATAGATAGACAGACAGATGATAGATAGACAGATAGATAGACAGATAGATAGATAGATAGACAAATGATAGATAGATAGATAGATAGACAGACAGATGATAGATAGATAGATATGCAGATGATAGATAGATAGATAGAACGATAGATAGACAGATATGCAGATGATAGATAGATAGACAGATATGCAGATGATTGATAGATAGATAGACATCTTGTATCTACCAGTGTAGTATATATTTTTTATTTCGCAGCAATCACAGAAACCTTACCAGCACAGTTTAATATGATTTATGAACGGTTTAAATATCTTATATATTTATTTGAGAAAACACATCTCTATACAGCAATTGGAAATCAAACATTAACAGTGAATCCACCATTAAAACAAAGAATCTAGATGACACACATTTACAGTCTTCACATGATGCCGAATCATCAAAGAAAAAAAAAAGGCTTTGTTGCGTTAATTATGTTGCATAATTATTGCATATGTCAATATGTCAGCAACACAAAACACAGCTAATGCTCTTTTTCTGTTTATAAATGGCAGACTGTTATTTTGTAGCTTGTTTGCATTTTTCTCTCGTTTGCTGTCAGATGTAGTGTGTAAGGTCATGCGCTCTTCTCCTCTGGATTATACGTCCCAAAAGCCTGCTTCTGCCGCTAGAAGAAACAAACAAAAAGTGTCAGGCTTAAATGGAAGGCCCACATAAAGAAGTTTAGCAAGGCTTCCCCAGTGAGAGGCCATTCATGTGCTCTCTTTTGTGCGGCAGTTTTCCTTTGCTGCTGGTGGAGGTAAATAAACGGCCAGCTGTCTCACTTCTCCTGCGCTGTCATGAAAGGGACAAGAGAGTCTGCAGCTGAGTCTAACTGAGGCCAACTTCAAACACCTTCTGTCCCACAGAACATTCAAGAGCACATCCTACACGTACACATTTCTCCACACTGTCTCCCTGTTCGCCTGCATGGTTTTTGGCCCAACTGGCAGTTTGGTGGTCTTTTAGACCAGACTTGCCTTGTGCAATGCTGCTGCATTATATTTTGTGTTTATTAGGATACACTGTTATTTTAAAGATTAAAACAAAGCTTATTGGAGTATGTTTTACAGGAAAACTTCAGTTTTTCTACTTTAAATTTCATTTTTAATTCAATGTGCTAATTGTTGATTTTACTAGCAATTTCTGAGTGAAAATACAGAAATCTCATCATTTTGTCAGTGTATTTGTGTCATCTCTTTCAGAACTTTAATACAATATTGCTGATTTTAGCTAACTCACGATCTTCATTCTTTTTCAGGTGTGGGTGAGTGTTGATTCTAAAAATAATAAATGATAATTTATGAACTTGTATTTTGCATTAAGAAAATCAAGCATATTTAAAACCATTAAGATATTTTGCATTGTTTTACATTATTTTCATGATAATTAAGCCCATTTTCTCCCAAAATACTCGGTACTTAAATGTAGCCCCCAAAATAGTTTAAATCATAAAGTATATTATCATATAAAGTTTAATTCAATGTGGAAACACATGATGACTTTCAATGCTGTACTACAGCAAATGTTTTTTTTTTGTTTATTACAAAAATAGTTATAAAATAAAATGCATCTAAAAAACAGGATGACTTTTAATATTGTATTACAGTGAGGAGAGTGTTTTTTTTATTAAACTGCTTGGCTAAAAAAAAATATAAAAAAATATATATATTTAACAAATCTAAAAGAAAATAAATACTATATGGAAAAACAGGATGAGTGAATGTATTGTTATTATTATTATTTTAATAAAGGCTATTGGCTAAAAATAGTTTTACAATTTTAAAAAGTAATACAAAAATTAAATGTTATAAAGCTATATATTGTATACATACAATATTATTACAAATAATACTGTACAAATACGATATATAAAATAATATATAATAACATATTTCTTTCTTTATGCATGAATGAATGAATTTGGTCATATATTTTAAGGGTGTTTGTATTGTTATTGTCTGATGGAAGACA